GAGACTAGGTAGGAAATCAACATGTGTAAGGAAAGAATTTACAAATCAATAACGATTCCTAAAATTATGGTGATGATTCCTGGGCTGATTGTGTGCAACGTGGAATCCTGTAAATGAGCTAATTTGATTGTGTCAATAAGAACTCCGACCACACATTCTCATCTTCCCATTGCCAATGCAAGGCCATGTGAAGTTCATGCTGAGTCTTTCCAAGTTCCTCTGATTCTCCATACTTAACACAACTACGCTATTATATATTGTCTACAAAACTACATCCCGGTTCATGACAGCTTGCAGGCTCACTTCATGGTCCAACCCAGCTTTCGTACTGCCACCAGCTTTGACGGTCTGCCTCCTCACCACCCGCAATGGAGAGCGACCATGAAAGTCATGATGAGCTTGAAAGAGGTATGAGAATCAAGAGTTTCGGAACCTAATGTTGCCAACGCATAGGCCAAGTGATAAGTACAGTCGAAGGCATGTCACGTGTATAATAATTGATGAAGTCTTCAGTTTTGCTGCAAGTGTAGCTGAAGAGATGGGGATTCATTTTGTTACTTCAGAGCTATAGTGCTTCTGCATTCTGGGCTAATTTTCGTATTCAAGAAATCAGTGATTCTAGTAAAGTAGCCTAATAGGTATGAAACTGATTCTAGGCAGATTATATAAATTAAAACTGATTTTCTCATTTTCTAATCATTTGAAGTTATGCAGGAAAGGATGAAGAGAAAGTGAGAAATTGGGAAAAGGAAGAGCTAGATTTATTGGTAACATGTGTTCCAGAAATGGAGGGATTCCGTAGACGACGTGACTTTCCTGCATTTTACCAGGTTAATGATGTGAATGATCCCAGTTTCCAGACCATCAAATCTGAGTCCAGGAGAAGNGCGAGACTAGGTAGGAAATCAACATGTGTAAGGAAATAATTTACAAATCAATAACTATTCCTAAAATTATGGTGATGATTCCTGGGCTGATTGTGTGCAACGTGGAATCCTGTAAATGAGCTAATTTAATTGTGTCAATAAGAACTCTGACCACACATTCTCATCTTCCCATTGCCAATGCAAGGCCATGTGAAGTTCATGCAAGTTCCTCTGATTCTCCATACTTAACACAACTATGCAATTATATATTGTCTACAAAACTACCTCCCGGTTCATGACAGCTTGCAGGCTCACTTCATGGTCCAACCCAGCTTTCGTACTGCCACCAGCTTTGACAGTCTGCCTCCTCACCACCCGCAATGGGGAGCGACCATGAAAGTCATGATGAGCTTGAAAGAGGTATGAGAATCAAGAGTTTCGGAACCTAAAGTTGCCAACGGATAGGCCAAGTGATAAGTACAGTCGAAGGCCTGTCACGTGCATAATAATTGATGAAGTCTTCAGTTTTGCTGCAAGTGTAGCTGAAGAGATGGGGATTCATTTTGTTACTTCAGAGCTATAGTGCTTCTGCATTCTGGGCTAATTTTCGTATTCAAGAAATCAGTGATTCTTGTAAAGTAGCCTAATAGGTATGAAATTGATTCTCGGCAGATTATATAAATTAAAACTGATTTTCTCATTTTCTAATCATTTGAAGTTATGCAGGAAAGGATGAAGAGAAAGTGAGAAATTGGGAAAAGGAAGAGCTGGATTTATTGGTAACATGTGTTCCGGAAATGGAGGGATTCCGTAGACGACGTGACTTTCCTGCATTTTACCAGGTCAATGATGTGAATGATCCCAGTTTCCAGGCCATCAAATCTGAGTCCAGGAGAAGTACTGAAGGTAGAGGGCTAATACTCAACATATTTGAAGAGTAAGAAGGACCAATCATCAATCAATCCTCAATCAAATGCAGAAATTCATTCTAAATTTGTTCCCATTTGGACCTCTCAATGCTCATTAAAAATCCTGGTTGGCCTAAAAAACTTGTCTTCAAATCTTGGGGGCAGTTTTTGGGAAAAAGCCTTAATTGGCTCGACTCGCAGCCTGTTGAATCTGTGATTTATGAGAGTTTCGCAAGTGTTACCATATTGGCTAGTGAATAGTGGGCAGAGGTATGAGGCCAGATTCTATAACTGGAAACCCTAGGGAGAGTCATATTTCGGTCAAGCTAGAAGAAGTACAAAGGCGAGAGGTTACCCAGTGAGATGGGCAGCACAAGAAGAGGTCTTAGTCCATTCGGCTTTTGGTGCATTTTTCACCCATTGTGGATGGAATTCGACTTTGGGGTGTGTAGTGGCAAGCATCCTATGAGCGGACCCTATGTTGTAAATCAAACAATAAATAGTATATTTGTTAGAGAGATTTGGAAGGTTAGTAGATATGAAAGATAATTGGTGATAGGATGATAATAGAGAAGATGATTAGAGATATAATTGTTGTGAGGAGGGATGAGTTCTTGAAGAAGGTTCATCATATGGCAGATTTAGCAAGAAAGGCTATTAGTGTAGGTAGTTCTTTATACTGTAAATCGACTCGACTGATCGAGTTCCTATGGTCTCTACTATAATTGTTAAAGGATAAAATCACACATCGAATAAAAATGAAAATATAGACTAATTTATAAAAGTTTGGGCTACTCCTCTTAATAAAGTTGACCTTTTAAAATGGAATATCAATTCTTAACATAATATCAGAGTCCATTAAGCTCTAACGAGTAATTCGATCCAATTAAAACTCAAGAAAATTGAGCACGTGAATTTTAAGATTGGTGTGCTCAAACGAGCCACCATCTTGAGGGGGTATAATAAGGAATAAAATTCCATATCCAATAAAAATGAAAATATAGACAAATTTATAAGAGTTTGTGCTACTTCTCTTAATAAGGTTGACCTTTTAAAATGAAACCCCAATTCTTAACAATAATATTAGTGATGGCTGTTTGCATGTCGAGGACGGAGGATTTCAGCAAGTTCTTTGGCATTGGACATCGCAGAGGTTAAGAGAGTGATTTTTCCCAAAAATAAAACTTCTTAGTTATGTACTATTCAATAAATCATTAAATCTTGATTTTTCTTTATCAAGACATGGAAGTCATAAAAAAGTTAAAATTCAAAGAGCTGCGGCATGACTCTTTCAAGCTGAACAGATTTGGACTGTCCGGAGGAAACCACACAAACACACGCACGTAACAATCGAGTTCAAACGATAAATAGAATATGATGGAGATAGAAAACACTAACATTACACAGAGAAAGACCGAATTTATTATAGGCTTCGAAATATTTACAAAAATCTGCAATAAAAAATAATATAACAAAATCAAGGTCGAGAAGGGTCAAACAGGAGATCTGAAAGATGAAATGAAATCAACCAAGTTATCAAGTGATTGGTGAGAAGAACCACCTGATTTCAAGCAAATATCTAATTTCTCCTTCAAACACATTATATTCTTCCTCATATCTTCCCCTTCCTTCCCCGCCATTAGTTTTTTAATCGCACTTCTTATTTCGACTCTATCCAGCCCTTTCTCCAACTTAATCCCCACTTTCCAGATATCATTCACATATCTGGAATTTACCTTCTGATCGCCGAAGAAAGGCGAACATATCATTGGGACGCCTTCGCAAATGCTCTCTAAAGTCGAATTCCATCCGCTGTGAGTCCAAAATCCACCAGTGGAAGGATGAGATAGAACTTCTTGTTGAGGAGCCCATTTTACGATATATCCCCTTCTACTAATTGCCTCCAAGAATTCCTTCGACAAAATTTCATTCCATTCTGAGCCATGAACTAATCCAGGACGAACAACCCACAAAAATGGTTGGTCGCTATTGGCCAACCCCCAAGCTACTTCATTCAATTTTTCTTCATACATTGCTGCAACACTCCCGAAACTCACATAGATTACTGACTTGGGTGATTGTGTATCCAGCCAGGATATCGAGGATCGATCTTGTGTCCATAAACTACTCGAGGAAGCTGAGAAATATTTATGAAATGGGCCAATTGCAAAAGTAGGCATGAGAAATTGTTCGCCAAGTTTGGCTAATTCAGGCTCTTCTAGTTCTTTGAAGGTGTTGATAATTAGACCTGAAGCTTTCTTTGTTTCTTCCACCATAATAGCTGTGGATTGATATTCCTCCTCTAGATTGCGCGTCTCAATTGTTGGAATGTCCTTAACTTTCAGAGGCGGGAGCTCCAGAACTGGTTCGTCCATTTCGGAATCTGTCCAAGAAGTGGATGATAAAAATTACAAAATGCATTCTAGACACGGTGTCCTATTTCATGAAGTTGTCGGGGGGAGGGAGATGTTAAAAGCGTTGGGGAAATAAAGCACCAAAAATGAAAAGTAAATTGAATATATAACACAGATTTACGGAGTTCTACAGAGGGAAAATCAACTCACTAATCAAAGATTTAAATACAAAATCTCATTACTTCTGTCATATTTCTTCGTTCTTATCACTCTTAACTGCTTTCTTAAGTCTTATTTCTTTTTGGTTTTATCCATGTACATCTCAAAACATTTTGATCTAAATTTCCAAGAAAAAGAAAACATACCTTTCATAGTGAGGTAACCCTTGTCTTGAAGAAGTGGTAGAGCTGCAAAGGCCAATAGCGAACAGACACTGCTTGTCCGGTGTACAAACCTCGGAATCCTAAGGTTGTCAGCCACTTGTTGTGTGAAATACCAAGCAGAATCCGTAACTAGACATACTATAGGATCATCAGATAGCAATCGAGTCAAACAATCACGAAATGGTTTGACACATCTTTCGTTGAGAAGTTTTATTGTATGAACAACTTCAGTATGCGCCGTGGAAACTTCACTTTCTGATAAGCCATCAGGGATTAAGTGTAAGATGAAATGGGGGTATTTAGAGAGATTTGGACAATTATATTTGGTGAGAATGATGATGATATTGAATCCTTTGTCGTGAAGGATGTTGGCCAGCTGAATCATGGGATTTATATGTCCTTGTAATGGGAATGGAAAAAGTACTAAGCAACGTCTTTTACTATGTTGCTGTATATTCTGGCCATGATTAGTCATGAAGAAGAAGAACCGAGTGCTATGTTGAGCAATGGAGGATATTGTTTAGCTTGAGGGTGGTGGCTCTCAAGATTCTCCTTTGGATCAAGACTTGTGAGTTTTTTTATATAGACTGCCCCCCCAGCTTTTCTAATTTTTTTTATTTTTTTCAAATTTGAAAACAAATGTATAAAAATATTAAAAGTTCTCTAGAGGTATGAAAGTGGTTGCAGTTTAATTCGACTTTCGAGTCTCATTTTTAGTCTTCGTTTGGCACAGTTGTTGTGTAGAGTTTTTTTATGAAAAGTGATGCTATTAGAAAGCTATGTTTAGTGATATTATTTCAAAAGAAATTACTTTCATTTTTTTATGTTCAAGTCTTCGAAATTTGTTGAATGCACGCCATCTTCAAGGAAAATTGTGCAAAATGTTTGAAGAAGATGAATCTAGTCATGATGCTGAGTTTTGAATTTTTCTCATTTGACTCGAGCATAATAATATTTTTCTTCACTAGTATCTCCAATATAGTACCAGTCTTTTTCATATCAAGCGTCATACTTCCAATATGTTTTGTTTTTCAAAAATGTTGGCATGTTAATTTATGAGAAACAAGATTTGAGCAGAGCCACAAATCTAATTCAGTGAAAACATTATTTACCTAAGATTTTTTTTTTTTTTTTTTAAAAAAGCAAAACATAACACTAAATCTTATAATTTATCCAAGATAAACTACAATTGTCTTACTATTCTTCAAATAGTTTAATAATGTTGTATGGTGATCTTATTATTAAATAATCTTAACATACACCTCCAAAAAGAAAAGGTAAAAAGGGACCATTTAGTCCACCATGCACCTCCAAAATCCAATGGTTTAGGGATTATGTGATATAAATACAAGGATATGCAACAAAGTTTGAAAACAATGATTTCTTTCATAGAGTATATTAATATAATTAACAATGATTTCTTTTATAGAATAGGTTAATATTACTTTTTACCTGCAAGAAAACAGAGAAAAGTACCTAGTTGCTAATCATAGCATTTTTTTGGTAATATAATTTTTGAGTAATGCTATTTATATCACCATTTGACGTTAGATTAAATGGCAAGATCGATAAAGTTATTATTATAATCATATATTCAACTGGCCTTATAATTTCCTGGCATATCGACTTGCAATGTAAATGGATGATGATCTGTATGCCAGTTGACCTCCATATGTGGCTCTGCCATTTGATCTCCAATATATATATATATATATATATATTTTTAATTTTTTTGTTTAGAGTTTTTCAAAACGTTTTAACTTTATAGTAAGAACTTTTTCATTAGACATTTCCCATCGAATTAATTGATAGAATAATAATAATAATAATAATAAAAATCTTAACCAACGTACTTATCTAGCTTTAAAGGAAGTCCATCTTTACTAAGATACTATCCTCATTACGGCAACGTTCCTTGAGTCGTCTTTTCAATCACGATGTCGTTGTATTATTTTGTTGATTTTGTTGATGATAGTGATATTTCTAATCTGAGGCTTAATTATCGATTGGTAGAACTGTATCTTGCTCACTTTCTTGACGAAGTCAAAATGGGAGTGTGAGACTTTTGAATGTTCAAAGGTATCTAGAATTTAGAAAAGATCTAAATTGATATTTTAAGACATAATTTATTTATTGATGGAGCATATTTTAGGATCTAATATATCAAGAAAACCACAATCTAATCCATCATAAGCCTGTGTGAACCAAATTTTGGTAACACTTTCTAGTTTAAAAATATGGCCGTAGTCTTACCAAAAATGTCACTAAACTGTTTTAGTTACTGTCAACATCTGAACGTTAATCGTAACTAGCAGAATTAAGTTAAAGATTGGACCAATTTAGCTAATGAATGGTGCCATGGATTGATAGGATTGAAAATATAAACCAATTTAGAAGCCAATTTCTTTAGATGTATAAATTTTAAATAGAGGAGTTCTTCTCTGTTGGTGCAACAGGAAAGGAAAAATAATCTGCAAAAGTTAGCAGAGAATTTTCTATTTTTTTGTTCCAAGTTTTCTGATACCTACATACACCCTATATTACCTTTTCAACCACTCATCCTACTACATAAGACATCACATTTTTTACCATATATTTATCAGAAGGTACAGAAAACTTTTGCTTAAGTTAAAACCATACATCACAAAAGGTCATTGCATCAGCAAGATTTACTGCATTCTACAGCAAAAAATCACTGCATCAACACTCCTCGATAATTTTGCTAGAGACTCCAAGCATTGATCTAAGATGTTCAAATCTAACATTAGGAAGAGCTTTTGTGATGATATGACCATCTGAATTGCAGTACTGAAGATTGATTTCTTCATTTTTCTCGGCCTTTCTTACTGCATGAAACTTGATCTTTATGTGATTATCTTTTCCACGATGAACTGGATTCTTTGACATAGCAATAGCAGACTTGTTGTCACAATAAATTTCAGTAGCCTTTTCTGGATTAAATCCCAAATCACAGAATTTTTCTGAGCCAAATAGCTTGATTTGCTGTTGCTATATATTCTACCTCAACAGTGGATTGTGCAACAACTTCTTGCTATCTCGAATTCCATGAAAAGATGCCTGAACCGAAGGAAAATAGTTTCCTGAAGTGCTATTCATACCATCCACGCTACCTACCTAATCACTATCAGAATAGCCTCTCAAACATCCATCTACAAATTTTTGAAAACACGCTCCAAAACCAATAGTTCCTTTTAACATCAAGTCTGGCGTTGTTGAAGTCAAGTATAACAAGCTTCCAATTAAACTTTTATAAGCACCTTCATTTTCCTTTACTATCCCATCTTCTTTTGGAAGTTTTTCATTAACCCCAAGAGATGTTTCAGCTGGTTTGCAATTTTCCATCTTAAATTTCCTCAAAATTTCCTTTACTATGGTCAATTTGATGAATCTCTATACCAAGAAAGTAGCTCATAACTCCAAGATGTGTCATTTCAAATTGCTGTTTCATTTCATCCCTAAAGTTGTTTTTATATCCACTTCATCTTTTCCAATTAATAACAAATTGTCCACATATAGTAAAATTATAAAGACAACTGCATTTTCCCTCCTTTTTATATAAAGAGGGCTTCATTTGACTTCTTTGAAATTCTTTTTGTTGAAGATAACCATCAATTTTGTTATACCATGCTCTAGATGCTTGTTTTAAACCACAGAGCTCCTTCTCTAATTCGTAAACTCTGTCTTCCTTTCCAACAATGATAAACCCCATTGGCTGCTTTACGTATATCTCCTCCTTGAGTGTGCCATTTAAGAAAGCAGATTTAACATCTAGTTGATATACTTTCCAACTTCTCATGGCAGCAAGTGCAAGTATTAGTCCTATTGTTTCCAATCTTGCAAAACTGGAGCAAATGTTTCAGAATATTCAACTCCAAATTTTCGGGACTATCCATTTACTACGAATCTCGCCTTATGCTTGTAAATTAAACCATCAGAATCCAATTTTGTTTTTTAAACCCATTTTACACCAATGGCCTATTTATGAGGTGATTTACTGGTAAGCTCCCATGTTTGATTTTTTTCAGTCATTATTATTTCATCTTGCATTGCATCTCTTGATTCTTGACTTTCAATTGCTTCTTTATAACATGTGGGCTCAATCATAGCCTTTCTAGAATTTTCATAAATCTCAGTCAATGATTTATTTTTTTGAACATGTGATTCGGAATAAGAACTTGAAAAATCATCAAATTCTCTATCTAAAACTTCAGGTATGGTTTCTTCATTTTCTGTGGCAACTACATCTCGAGTCTCAATACTAGATTGCTTTTTAACCTTTGCCTCTTCCCGGTTCCAACTAGCATTCTTATCAACCTTCACATCCCTATTTATAACAATTTGTTCCTTTTCAAGGTTAAAGATCCTATAACCTTTTGATTTAGAACTATAATCCAAAAAAAATGCCTTTCTCTGCTTTTCATTAGGCTTATATCTCTTCACATTAGGAATGTAAAAATGACATACTGAACCAAAGATTTTAATGTGACTTGCATAAGGCTTCATACTAGTCCAGACTTCAATAGGAGTTTATCTTGCACGGCCTTAGTTGGAAGCCTATTTTGCAAATATACTACCATATAAACTGCCTTTGCCCAAAACTTCTTAGGAAGTTTTTTTTTAAAAAATCATAATCTTGCCATTTCCATCACTGTTTTGTTTACCCTCTCCGAAACACTATTTTGTTCAGGTGTATATGCCACTATCAGTTGCTGTTCTATACCTCTTCACAAAATTTATCAAATTCTTTTGATGTATATTCCATTCTTTTATCCGACCTCAACTCCTTCAACTTGCAACCAGTTAGAGTTTCCACCAAATTCTTGAATTTCTTGAAGATGAAGAAAACTTAAAACTTTCTACTATTGAAATTCATCCATGTCATCTTGAGTATTTATAAATAAAAATAATAAAATATCTGTTTCACTCAACGAGGGAGTCCTTATTGGTCCAAAACATCTGTGTGGACTAGTTCCAATTTTTTACCAGCCCTTGCACCACTTGAGGTAAAAGAAAGTCTGTTGATTTCCCAATTGGCAACATCCACATACTTCTTTACTCAAATTTACAAGAGGCAAACCTCTAACCAATCCCTTTTCATAAGAAAGTTTGAGTGATGACAAGTTAAAGTGCCCAAATCTCTTATGCCAAACCCAAGTTTCATTAACATTACTTCTATAAGTGTGTGAACTAAGACAAGAAGACCAATTTAGTGGAAAGCTGCGATTTTCACTTTAAAATTAAATAACTTTGCTCCACATGAATCATAAATCTTACATCATATATTTTTAAACAGCAGTGTCCTTTATCCATCATTTGAGCCGCACTTAAAAGATTTTGATCTAAATTTGATACTAACAAGACATT